CTCTGACTTTTTCCTATTCCCAAAATTAAATTTATTTTTGGTTCTCTTAAGAGAACCTTAAAGGGCCGTCGTTTTGCAAGCCTAGATGACATTAAAAGCGCATCGCTGAAAGAACTAAAGGCTATCCCAAAGATCGAGTTTTAGAAGTGTTTCGAGTATTGGAAGAAGAGCTGGCACATGTGCATAATATCCAATGGCGACTATTTTGAAGGAGACAAATATTTGTTTCAAAAAACGAAAATTCCCGATATTTTCTGAACACACCTCGTATCATAGAAAAAGGTTTTTCATAACATATAAAGTTACCAAATACAAACAATTTTAAAATAAGTTCTTAATAAAATAAAAATAATAAAATAAAACATAATTCTTAATACCCTTATCGTAATTCTATTTGTCTCATAATATTATAACATGTATAAAGGTATTTTTTCTAGAGAGTTTACATGAACATGGGAGATTTCCTTCTTTTGGTGCTGTAGAGTTTCAGAGGTCCTGTGACGTGGCCTTGAACAACGCCAAGCAACTTGCCAGAAATCAAAGAAAAGACAAAACAAATTAAAAATCATTTCTTAGGATTCTTCTTAAAAAACAATTTTTTTTTTAAATTTTTATTATTTAAAATATTTTTTAATTATAAATTTATTACAAATATTTTTTTTTTAAATATTTTTCTATTATAATTAAAAAGTTTAAATACAAAATGTTTTAATTGTTTTCTGTGCTTGTATATTAGGGTGGAGTGAATTTTTTTAAATTTATTAATTGATTTTTCCTATATTATTAATTGTTGACTAAAGGCGTAAAATGAATAAATATCGAAAAAATATTCCAATTTTTTAATATCTTGAGGTGGCGCATCTGTCTCGAAGTTTTGAAAATTCTAAAAAAATATTACCTTAATCAAAGTAATAAAAATAGCATTATTTATAAATAAAAAGTTTATTTTAGTAAAATTAACGTGAAACGTAAACATATTTAATAGTAAATCATATGCTTTAAGTAACTTCAGGAGTGTTTATTGGTAGAAATGAGATCTTCTTTTTTGCGAAAATACTGACATTTGGTATCAAAATTTGGTAATTATTTTCTGACTTTAATTCTTGTTCTGATGAAACCATTTCTTGCTTCCGATCCACAAACCGAGACTGAAGATTCAGTATACTGGTTATAACCAGTTTTACACAGCGTTCCACTGCTTGGGTGTGACACTGAAATTTTTGGAAGTATAGAAAATGGTCACCCGAAGAAATCATATCGGTAATTTCTGTCATCGTATTTCATAGTCATAGGTGGTTCAGTCACCTTTTCTGTCGCCCAGTGAATTAACTGGTACAAACGTAATGCTTCAGTATTTAGTTGTGGAAGCTTTAATTCCGGTAATCTCGAACATTTTGATTCTTTTCTCGCCTTTAATATTTTCGGCAATGCTAGTTCTCTGATCGATAGATATATTGTAGGTAACATAGCAAGTAATAGGTTTTCGGGATAAATATTTCGCTGAATATTCTTTATAACTATAGTTATAAGGCCTTCAAGTTTTTCTGGAGGTGTAATGCTCTTTTAGTCATATTAAATATGTGAATAGGACCATGTTTGCACGTAGGCTTGGTGTTGATGTAAAACCACGTTGGGGCATACACTTTCATGATAAAAGTAGCCAATTATTTTAGGTTTTCCGATGGGTTTGCTGTCCCCCATATAAACTATTAGCCCACGTCAGCAATAGGGAATGTGCTAGCTTGCCTGGATCTTTGTAAGCTATAGCTAATATTTATCCCGAAAACCTATTACTAGCTATGTTACCTACAATATATCTATCTATCAGAGAACTAGCATTGCCGAAAATATTAAAGGCGAGAAAAGAATCAAAATGTTCGAGATTACGGGAATTAAAGCTTCCACAACTAAATACTGAAGCATTACATTTTTACGAGTTAATTCACTGGGCGACAGAAAAGGTAACTGAACCACCTATGACTATGAAATACGATGACAAAAATTACCGATATGATTTCTTCGGGTGACCATTTCCTATATTTCCAAAAATTTCCGTGTCACACTCAAGCAGTGGAACGATGTGTAAAACTGGTTATAACTAGTGCTGTCAACGATTATCGATTAACCGGTTAACCGGTCATAATTTTATTATAACCGGAAAATGAGGGTATAACCATAATCGGTTATCGGTCAATCGGTTACCGGTTACCAGTTAATCGGTAACCGATTAACCGGTTATGTTTATTATCTGGTCATATGGTTAATCGGTAGGTAAAGATTTTCTCTGCCCGCTTCTGTACCGGTTTCGGGTGAATCCCCGTCCTACATGCTTACGGTTTTAATTTCAGTTGCATGAGAATAGTTGGATGATCCACGTTGCAACGTTGTGAATGACATGGTAACTAAGTAGGTACTGTCCTATTTTATTTTAAAATTATATCAAACAACTAATATAAAACGTTCTAATAAATTATACAAAAAATAGTCTTACCTTTTAAGAAAACTAAATAGGTCAGCAGCAGCAGTTCCGCAGTATTCCGCACGTTAATTGTCACAATCAAACGATTAATTAAACGAATCGATAATTATCTTAAGACAACAGTCGTAAGCTACTTATAAGACAGGACTGGATTATTCTCGATAAGTGCTGTCTTTCTCGCTCCTGCCTTATGTGTAAGAAAGGAGTGTGAGTGAGAAAGAAAAGAAGCATGGTTTCAGCCTTTCACGCAACGCCTACGGAAAAAGTCGAGCGCGCACGAGGCAGGCACGAATATTTAAATTCTGGCGGCACGAGGCATGACTGGTACAACGTTGTCGGATTGTGGAAAAAATCCTTCGAAAAAATTGAAAAATGTGCCAACGTGAAAATTATGAACATTTTACGTCCAGCCAAAGGTATTCACTGGACGCTGGACAAATGAGCCGAAAAGGTGGACGTCCACCCAAATTCTGGACAGTTGGCAACCCTACCTTCAATGTACCGGAGCCCGATGACGACGACGATGAAGAAGACCTAGACCTAGGCATGTACGCTGACCTCGTCTATGAAGAAGTCCCAGATGTAAATGGTGTTGCACCCGGTAGAGTAAACAGAGATTTCGCTGACGGCAGACTTTTACAGAGACGAATCATTCGAGCGCATTTCAGATAGTATCGTGATAGATAGATAGTATCGTGATATTGTGATATTTTTGTTGAATGGGTGCATAACATGAATTATGTATGAACCTTAAATAAACTAAAGATGAAGTAAACAAAACACAATAATTTAAAATAAACGTTTGAGCATGTATTAAACAATTATTATTACTTCTTTAAATGTTTTATTGTTGTTCCCCATTGCTTTACTCCAATTCTCATGATCTTTTGATGATTTTTGTATTTGTGGTGTTTTATTTTATTTAAACCATGATCGATTAATTATATTAATTAAATTCGGTTATAAATATTAATCGATCATGGCCACGGTTAAATGGTCATGGTCAACTGGTTAATAATGACCATTTAACCGTGACCATGATCGATTAATGACCGGTTATGCAACATATTCAGTAACCGGTTATTTACTTAACCGGTTAATATTCCATGACCGGTTAACCGGGAAAAATTTTAACTTTTGACAGCACTAGTTATAACCAGTATACTGAATCTTCAGACTCGGTTTGTGGATCGGAAGCAAGAGATGGTTTCATCAGAACAAGAATTAAAGTCAGAAAATAATTACCAAATTTTTATACCAAATGTCAGTATTTTCGCGAAAAAGAAGATCTCATTTCTACCAATAAACACTCCTGAAGTTACTTAAAGCATATGATTTACTATTAAATATGTTTACGTTTCACGTTAATTTTACTAAAATAATTTTTTTATTTATAAATAATGCTATTTTTATTACTTTGATTAAAGTAATATTTTTTTAGAATTTTCAAAACTTCGAGACTGATGCGCCACCTCAAGATATTAAAAAATTGGAATATTTTTTCGATATTTATTCATTTTACGCCTTTAGTCAACAATTAATAATATAGGAAAAATCAATTAATAAATTTAATAAAATTCACTCCACCCTATTGTATATCCCTATATATTAGTTATTTTTAACTAATTCATTTTTCGAAAGTAGTTTAAGGTAAAAAATATAAAATAAAGAATTTTGCAAAATATAAAGAAAGCCGCAAATAAAATAAAACATCTAAACATTTTAACTGCAACCTAAGCGAGTAAAACTAATGGGTAATATGTAAGTACTTAGTTAAGAGTAAAAAAAGCGTGTGTAGCTTTTAAAAATAGAGCGGAGAATTTATGCGAGAAGTCGTGCAAACTTTTTGCCGAAGATAGGTAGGTATCTATAGACATTCTATTTCGGTGTGTCTAACAGGCTCAATTCATGCGAAAGTGCTAAACTTAAAATCGATTCGAAGGGGAAATTGAAAGGTTTAAATTTTATTGCTGCTTCTTTATCAGTTTAAGTGCCGCCCGTCGAGAAAAACCTGCTGCATTTTTTCAATCCCGAAATTGAACCCTTAACTAAATTTAAAGCCTTGTAGACCGTCCCGTCTAGTCTCCTTTTTTATACCCTTCTTTATTGATACATACATGATGATACGAAAACCACCCTTTCTGTGAAAATGACCGGGAAATTAGTATTACTTCAAACATTTGGGATTACCTATTGACAGATGTGTTTTGTTTTGGTGTTGGGGAATATTTCTAATACTTGTTTATTGTCAGGTGGTTAGTCCGCCAGGTATGCTGTCACTTATCACATCACACTCTATTACTTCCGTGACCGTAAAGTAGCCTTTCTGTGAAAAGGCTTCAAAACAAAAGTGTAAAAATATGAAACTAATTCGTTGGCTGAATAGGATTTTCAGTTTCGCCATAAATCAGTTTAATACGGTCGTTATGTACGAACAAATGACTTAGTTAAGATGTCATAAAAAGGGATTAAATTCTTTAAAAACAATGTTCGTCGTTTTAGAGCGGAGGAAAAAAGAAAACAATTTACGGAATTAAAATAATTTATTATGTACAAAATTAAGGAAACAAACTACACTACTTGGTGAGAGTTTCGATATAATTTATTCTAGACAATTTTTCCTGCAGACCCGCAATCTGAAACAAAGAAGATTTAACTTCGAAAAAATTAATTACAAAATTGAAACCTTGTTCGAGTGGGATTCTTGAACTTCCGGTGCCACATTTACGTTGTATGTACTTCCGGAAACCATCTTGTTCATTTTTTCCAGTTCCTTTAGCAATTTTTCTTTCTTCTTTTCCATTTTTGCTGAATCCATTTCCAATGCCTGTATTAATTCCTGCGGTACTATTAAATGCAAAACAGTGTTGCCAACATTATCAACCACCGTATTTTTCAAATTTAATTCCGACGATGAGCCGTGAATGTTAATTTTATGACAGCTCGCTAGGTCTTCAATTGTTTCGGACAAGTTTGAAAATACTGGGTCATTACTAATAATAAATGCTAAAAATAAAAAAAAATCAACTCGTTACTAGAAAATTTTACATTGTAACAAACCAAGAAATAAATCATTTTTCCATTAGTGCTATTTTTTTATAAAAAAGTCATTAAAATTTTTATAAGTAGAAATTTTGGGCCGCCACTGATTGTTCCTGACCTGACAACTGACGCAAAATATGCTTGCACAGTGGGCAATAATCTACATTCATTAAACATTTACACTTGTGTTATCATCGAATACTTTGTTGATAATTGTTTTTTTGTTTTGCATACTCAGGTATTTTTAGGTACTTACTTTTGAAATTTTAAATTTCACCTTCCTGTTTTACGTCGATTGATGCCTATGTGGCTATTTTTTTAAGTGTTCCACAAAATCATAATATATGTTCAAGAAACCATACCCACTGAACTGTCAGTAATCAATAATAACAAAGTACTATGCTCCACACCTCAAAGTCCCACCACGATACCACGTACGGAACGCAGTCTTTTGAAAATTTGGCATTTAAGGCTTTTCAGGTTATGTATCTGTCAAAGTATAGTCAATGAAAGAAATAATATTTAGTGTTACCGCTTGTTTAAGCGTTAAAAGTTAATAAATCTTTATAGTATCACAATAACAATGGTTGGTTTAAGAATTTAGGAATATAAATACTGCATTTAATGAAATTCCAAAGTGTAAGGTGCAATATAAGTGATATTTTTGTGCATTGGGTCTACATTTCTCCATAAAATAGTTTTAACTAAACAGCATTTATTTAAAAAAATCTAACTTCTCTATTATAAAATAAGAATATCCGTATCAAAGGTAGGTAGGTAATGTATTAGAACAAAAAATATAATCTAATTTTGTATTTTAAGGTTAGAAAAATCTATTTTGACATAAGTTTTGTCAATACAAATAGTTAAAGAGCTTCGACTGAACTTGATCTACATCGAAAAATCATTATAACCCTAGGATTATAACTTAAAATTTTAATAAATCACATGTCGTGGGAGTATTAAATATTTTCACATTATAAGTTTTTCTAAAAATTGTTTGTTTTCTTATAATCGAACTTAAAGTAGGTATGCCAAGAGGTATGCACAAGTTTTGTCATTAGAAGTATAAAAGCTTCAATTTAATTTGAACCATATTCAACAATTATTTAGTATACCTATATTTATTTATGACCTATTAACACACTCTTCCAAATAATCCACTTATTTATTTTGGTCAAAATAGATTTTTTTTAACCTTAAAATACAAAATTAGATGATATTTTTTTTTCTAATACATTAACCTACCTTTGATACAGATATTCTTATTTCATAATAGAGAAGTTAGATTTTTTTTTTAATAAATGCTGTTTAGTTAAAACTATTTTATGGAGAAATGTAGACCCAATGGACAAAAATATCACTTATATTGCACCTTACACTTTGGAATTTCATTAAATGCAGTATTTATATTCCTAAATTCTTAAACCAACCATTGTTATTGTGATACTATAAAGATTTATTAACTTTTAACGCTTAAACATAAGCGGTAACACTATAAATATTATTTCTTTCATTGACTATACTTTGACAGATACATAACCTGAAAAGCCTTAAATGCCAAATTTTCAAAAGACTGCGTTCCGTACGTGGTCACGTGGTGGGACTTTGAGGTGTGGAGCATAGTACCTACTAACCGATTTTATATAAATTTAAAAAATTACATAATACACTCTGCGCATACCCGTTTCTTTGTTGCTTGTATAAATAATATGATTGTTTTTAGAGGTAAAAACAATGATAATATATACTATATATTATATAGGATAGGTCAGTAACATCCATTTTTATTAAAAAACAGTAGTTCTAATGCAGAAAGACTTTATATTCTATTAAATTGGTTGTTTACCTTCTGGTTTATGTTTCCCAACTACGTTAAACATTTTTTTTAGCCGTCTGATCGCTATTACTACACTCATTACATCCGATATTTCTTTTTCTAGCTGCTCATTTTTCCAGTTCAGGTCCTTAAAATCATGTTTTGATTAAAACCTAATGGACTAAAATTTTTCAAATTAAACTCACTTGTGGAAAGTAGAGATTCCTTTCGGTCAGAGGCAGATAAGAGTGCAAATGAGCAGCCAGGGTCGGCATGAAGGGGGCCAGGACCCTCAGCCCCACATCCAACGAAGTGAGCAGGGTCCACACGTGGCTTGCTGCACGCAATGAATTTAACTCGCGTAGACCCCTTTTAGTGCTTTCCTGTAAAAAAAAAACCCTTGTTTAGTTCTCCCTCTGTCTCTCTTTAGTACAAGTACAAACTATGTACACGAGATGGCTTGTCAAAGTTGATAACAATTTTGTAATATCGATTGCTTACAACCTTTAGAGTCATTTAACAAATATTGTTATCAATAAATCCTAATTCATGAATACCTTGATCCATAATAGTAAAATAGTTTTTCCAATAAGGTTGTTGCTGAATACTTTTTAGTTAGCATCAGCCTGCATGCGACAAAACTTTTTTCAAGTCAACGGTTGCTTCTATAAACAACATGAAGGGAACTCCTTATCCCCTTTTTAGCTGATCATTTAGTAGCTTGGGATTTGGTTAAGATACTCGGACGATATCTTTGCTATTTTTGATCAAAAGGCTTGCAGGTTAAATGTTTTGTTTTGAATAATTGTATTCCCTCTATTAAATTCACCTTTGAATTGAAAAAAGATGGCCAGCTACAATTTTAAGATACCCTAGTGATTAGATCTAACACTACTCTAGAGTTCGATATCTACAGAAAACCTACAAGAACTCAAGTTACATCACTTTAGACTCAAACCACTACTGCACACAACAAAAGCAGGCCAGTTTTAACTTTCTTGTTCGTAGGTTGATACAAGAAACAGCTCGGATTTATAAAAGATATTCCTAGAAACAATGGTAGATAAGTTAGTAAATTAAATTAAATTTAAGTCTCGCATTTCTATAGGTTAACGACTAACAGAGCTAACAGAGCCCACAAAAGTAAAGTTTATGACTATTTCTTTCGAACCCCAGTACACCCGAGGTTTGGAAGGATTTTTCGAAAACTGGACTTCAAAATTGCTTTTAGTTCGAGCAGTAACACACTTAAGACGATTTTAGGCAACCCCAAAGATAAGATTCCTAAAATTGAAAAGTCGGGGATCTACGAAATAAACTGTCAAACTTGTGATAAGAAATATGTTGGACAAACTAAACGATCCATCCAAATAAGGTTTAAAGAGCACATGGACCATGCTAGATTTGGTAGGACAGAGAAATCGAGTGTTGCCCAACATAAACTTGATGATGGTCATAAAATAGAATCCGACAACCTTAAACTTATAAAGTTAGGGAACCAAGTCTGCTAGATAGTTATGAAAGTTTATACACCTCTAGTTTGTCAGTTTCTCTTTACGTGTATAATTAGTATAAATTTGGTAGATTTGGCAGTTAGATTTAGTTACACTTCGCTTCTGAAGATCCAACTAACCAACCTAGCCCCATTCATGAACTCCAATTGAATGGGGATATTACTAAATCCCAGGAAATCAGGGATTTAGTAATACACCCATTCAATTGGAGTTTATGAATGGGGCTATGTTGATTAATTCTCTACTTGGACCTATACTTGCTGGTCTTGTAGTACTAGCTGTTCGTTTGCGACCGCATCTGCTGAAAATTACTGTGCTAAAAATGAAGTACTCAAATTGTTTGCCCCACTGTGCGAAACCATATTAAATACAAGTATCGTTGATTGAAGATATGCATATATATGCAACTGGATTGTAATATATGTGCTGGGCAAATAACTATATATTATTTTTTTTGTATTATTTTTTATATTCTTAATAAAAGAATTTATTACAAAGAACACTGTGCTTTATTATAAACGTATCTGTAAAAATGTAATTTACAAAATAACGAAAATAATAATGATTATGCACATAGTAATAATAGAAAAAAATATTAAAAAGTAAATTAAAATTTAATTTTATTGTCAAGTAAAATAAATGGAAGATTGTTAATAAAATTTAAACTTACTTACCAAATAAACATCGCAAAATTCAAAGTATAAAAAGTTCTTGAGCGCATGAGTGACGACATGAAAATTGTTATTTTCGAAACCTTCATTGGCCACAGAAACCATTCCATCCAGTTTACTTAGAATCCACTTGTCCATGGGATGCAAATCGTCCAGATTTGGTGGCCGTTTATTTAATTGCCGCTCATTAGAAACATTGTCGAACCATAATTTCGTAAACTTTGTCGCTTGCCAAATTTTGTTTCCAAACAGTTTGTTGGTGTAACATTCAGACACGTCAAAGTTAATAAAATGATCTAAAAAGGAATTTTAAAAAACGTCATGAAGAAAATTTAACAGCTAATAAGGAAGTGAAAGATTTATTAATAGTGTCTAGGAACTAGGAACACTCTTAGAAAAGACCTGGTATTTGTAACTAACTTATTATCGTTGGGGTAAAACTGTTGCAGAAAATAAAATTTTTTGTTTTTTGTAATCAGTACCTTTATATGTGTAACTGCTTGCATCATTACCTGAAAAGATTTAGTTTTGTTGTTGAGTATTATTTACTGCAAGAAGGCGATTAAGTTATTTTAACTGAAACTTTGTGTTGGCTAGAAGTATTGACAACATTATCTCAAAAAAATCATTTCGGCGGTAAAATGTTTTTGTTGGACCAAATATTTAAGTAACATTCTCAACTGACTGAAATTAGTCCGTGGAACTAACGGTTCGGTTGTATAAACTATGCGTAACTTTTCACACAGCTAAGACACCAGCGGTGTGAAACAAAGTGTCAGTTGGGGATGTTGTCTCTGTAGGTTAATGCAACTGCAAACTTTGTGCATTTCGCGCGCGATTTGTCCAGCCCGGCGCGTGCTTTACTTTTAACCTGTAAACAAACGGTGTTGCACGGCGTCCAGACTTCGGTGGTGTTCTTTTGTATTTGTGTATCAGCTCGTGTGTAGTGTATATTTTAGGTAAGAAACTAGTTTATTACAATTAGTCGTTTGCCCCTGTAAATTCAGTGGCGACATACTTTTTAACTATTCATATATATAAGATTATACTCTTATGTGTTGGTTACTTATAGATATCTCGAACAAATAATATGGATGAGCGGACTGAAGTAGCAGATTTATTAGGAACATGGGGTTTACCTGAATTGGTTCCAGTTTTTAAAGGTTAGGTATTATTATTGCACTCCTTTAATTACACTATTGTAGTTTTGGGGTCCGAAAAAAAATCCAAAAATGTGAAAATGCCATTCCGACTGAAAATGGTCTCCTGAATCCAATGGTGCCCACCAAAAGTCTCCATCACGTCGGAATTTCGAGAATTTTTGGTTTTGTTTTGTTACAGCTCAAGTCGCATTTTTGGTATAGGGCCTATACTATAGGCACTCACACTCAAAATTTATCGAATGCTTACCCCTGTTATCATGCAAGTATGTTACGTTGTACCTAAGAATCATTGTTAAGTTGTTAAACAAAGGCTTGCACTTCACGTAAACATCACGGTTTACTAAAGAAGTATAGTCAAATTTCATCTTAATGTACCTATCTGTGTATATTTACCAAAGAATCGTTTTTGTTTTATTGTTAAAATATTTATAAATGTTTTCTTAGAGTAATTATTAATTTTTGTTATAATGTTTAAACCAAAATTTGGTGTTTTCAGTTATATTGTTATATTTTAATTTATAATAAATATTTATAAAACGAACGGGCATGAATTTCCTTTCTCTATTTTTTATAATATTTACACAAAAAGTGTTATATTTACTAAGCAGGTATACCTATAGGTATGTACTGTGGAATATTACCAATTTGTTGTTGCTACTAATGCAAGCATTTAATATTAAATATAACTTAGTTACAGCAGTGCCGGTTTAAGATAGTTCGCCGCCCGGTTCTGGCACAAACACAACGCCCAATGCTTTAAAATATTACTTTTTTAAAAACATTTTTAAATTTTTTAGTCTTACTTTCTCACGTCAAGTGGAAGATTAGGTTGGTTAGGCTGGTATCTAACAGTAAACTTAGTATCCTATAAAATATAAAATGAGCCTTTATAAACAAATTATAAAAACTAATCAAAAGCACTAGCTAAAAAATAAAACATTGTTTGGTTTATATAAACAATACTAAGTACTAAGAAAAACTAATTAAAAAATAAAAGTTTAATATTTTGTTTCATTAAAGTAAAAAAAAACTAATCAAAAGTTATAAATAAATAAAACATTATTCTTTGGTTTAAATAAATATTGAGAAATCCTAATACTAATAATTAAATGGTTGTTTTCAAGTCTTTATAGTAGCAAATTGTTTTATAACACTTTACATTTATTTCATCTAGCAGGTCTTGATAAATGGACAGAATTGCTAAGGAGTTAAATCTTTCTTGGGGAATTGTATTTCTTAGGTAGCTCTTTACCCTTTTTAGAGTAGAGAAAGATCGTTCACCACTTGCATTTGAAACCATTATAAAAAAAAATTCGCAGACAAATATTAATATTCGGAAATGAAGATATTAATTTATATTCGTATAAAACTTATACTAATTCCAATGGAGTTTCTATTTTTATTTCCGAAAGGAAAGTTACCAGTTTCTTGAGTTGGACACATTTTTGAGGAAAAAACTTATCCAAATCCTCCACGAAGATTTATGCTTTTAGATGAAACAAAAATTCAAATTTGTTTGTGCCAGATTTCTAGCTATCATATCGACAAATGATTTCGGATTATAGATTGTCAATTATTAAAATAAAACATATTGTTCGCATTGTTTCTTTTTTGCTTAAACTTGCCTCTGAATTATTTTCTTCAAATTGTAATTTTCTTATGATTATCCGCTTCTGAGCATAATTTTCGTTTCCTGTTAATTTCCTCGTAATGATCAAAATGATCACGTAAAAAATCAAAGTTCTCAACTAAAAATGACAAAAGATGAGCATTTGTGCTTAAATCCATATTTTGTTTTTGGACTGCTTTATTGGTTTCATTAACCCTTTGCAAAACGCGTCTATCCAAAAAGTTAAAATTATTCCGTTTCCAATAAATCAAGTTTTTCTGATGGAGAAGCTGCTTCAACTCTAACAACATTTTTCTCATTTGTATCCGTTGTATCCGCCGACGCAGTGTCGCAATATTTTTTTTTCTAAATTCTAACGATTAAGTATTTTTTTCTTAAATTATGGGCGGTACGCGGTACCGCCCCAAAAATATTTACCGCCCGGTGCTATAGTCCCCAAAAAACCCCTGTTAAACCGGCACTGAGTTACAGTACAAAACAAATTTATATTATATCAACTATTAAATTCTTTAAATGTACCTTTTTTCATGTAATTTCAATTAAAAAATAAATTCCTGCATGATACAATGTTTGTTGCGATAAATAGCAAGTGCAGTTGTTACAACTTAGACGCTGCTAAAATGACAGACTAATGTGATTGCATTAAATATCAATTATTTGTATGAAAAAAAAACTAATTTCGATGCACTTAAACTTGTTGGTTGGAGCTACCAATATTGGCTGTTCCCACAACAAACTGTAAAAACAAATTTGTATTAGTTCCCACAACATATTTTTTTGTTGTGCCTATTTTCACTAATAAAATTGGTTCTGGGAACTAAATTTTCATTGCAAATACCAGGTCTTTTCTAAGAGTGAAGGAGTGTTAGCAAGGTAAAATGAAGCGTAAAAGTAACTCGTTAAAAAGTTTCAATCCTAAGTACATCTAATTTGAAAGTCGCTTAACCAGTCGATAAAGTTCCCACAAATAGTTATCCGATTTATTTCGCTCTCCCGTTTTACGAGCAAGACAACGCGGCTGCCCTCGAGGTGTTTAATATCCCCGAGATTAAGTCCTAAAATTGGGAATGGAACTTTGCCTCTCTTTTTTTCCACCACAGCTACGCCCGCTCTTTCATAAAAACAAGTTTTTGTTGCCGCGGGATGTTATATCATAATTTTGCACTTTTATTTGTTCGATGACAATCACTTTACAAGTAAATAAGCCCCGAAAAATGCTTATTTGTGTTATCTTCAATTTTTCAAGTATGTACCTTAGAGAGAAATAAACGTCTGCCAGTGTAATTAAGGTTGTCATGGAGTGAGTGTCAAATGATCAGAATTTAACATAGAAATTAATAAAAATTAATAAAAATTTGCAAATAAATTCTTTATGATGCTTCACATCATCCTGTTTAATTTAATAAAAACTCTTGTCGTTGAGAGCCAAGCAAATACATTTCAAAGTTGAGTAAAAATACACGGGTTCTTATGGCAGCACGTGGGTTGTTACTCTTTTCTCCTCCGAAATAATTATTGGTAATGATAGGATTGCAATAAAAAATGAGTATATCGTGGAGCGTAATTTCAAAACATGATACGCGAAGTTTAATAATGATCATGTCGGTAGGAAAAAAGTTCTATTGGATTAAATCGGTGAATTCACGAAATTTGACGCTTGCACTGAAGATTCATGGCAACGTCGCTGACGTCAGATAGGAACGCTATCGCCCGGTGCTACATAGGTGTGAGTGAGAACGTATGTAGCAAGCGTAAGGGTGAAAGAGACAGCGAATACGACGTTGCGACTATTATTGGCGAAATTTTTAAAAGCGATGTTATAGATTTTTATTCATTTACATACACTATAACAACACCTCATGAACTGACAATGCAATTACATTGCAAAATATTTAAAAAAATCGCCTAAAAATGGAATTTTGGTTGCAAGTAGTTGATTCATAATTTTTTCGCAAGACTGTACCCTTAGAGACGTTACCTATGAGACATTCTTTTACAAATCGTACACCTATTTTGACATCAGGGTTTGGATTCGCATGAAATTTTTTTTACCGCTTCTATTCAGTAAATAAGCAGATACGTGTATCAGGTTTTCTGTAAAAAAATTGTTTTTTCAGAGATATGTTGATATAAAGTTTTTATGAATTGCGATAAAACGATAAATTCTCTTCTACATAAAACCCATTATCTCCGGTTCTACTGATCGGATCGATTTTGTATTTTTTTTGTTTTAAACCTTATTGAATAGGCTTTTCAAATAAATAAATTAATTTTTTTTTTTTTAAGTATAGGGAGTTAATAACAGATTAATTTTTTAAACTAGTTTTTCATGTTTGCCCCCTCTATAAAATAAAATGAAAAAAATACTATTTTATGCGCTTTTTCTTTATCTACAAAATACATTTTTCAGAACAGTGGAGACTCTTTTGGATCGGAAGATATTAAACATTTTCGAGCGCGTGACAGGACTGTCAAGCGCGTAATATTCAAACGTATTAGTGCA